ATAAATAAATATATAAACCATATCTAAATTTATAATTTAGAAAAAATTAAAAAAAATAACATTTAGTTTAGGACAAAGGAGTACTACGTCTGGAAAGAAATATGGGTAATTTACCCTTGTCAATCCCGAAACTTCCGAACATAGGACACTTTATGGTACCCAAGAAGGGGAATCACAAAGGTTAGAGTCAAAAGAGGATGTCTCAGTAGAACTTTGCTGCCAATCTGATAGCGACTCAGCTCCTTCCAGACAGAGAGAGGAGCTCTAAATTTTCGAGCATGTTGCCAGTTCTTTAATTGTTATTGGAGGATTGCCTTCTCCTTTTTGGCTCACCATAAATTGAAAATGCCAACCACGTTCATATGCGGAAAGCGTCACAACTCGCATTGTATTACCAAAGTTGCTGTAACTTCAAGCTTCATCAAGCTTCAAGCTTCAAACTTTTTTCTCATTTGGGGACTTTAACAAGGGTTCGGTATTTTTTTTCCCCTAACATTCATTTTGCTCAGGCTATGTGTTCGTTAACATGTCTCTTTAAAATGGTTATAGATGTGTAACTAGCCAATGACTGGGGACTTCTTTTACATGTTTAATATCAAGATTTGAGGTCAGTGCTGGGTTAATCCTCATGGATTCTTAATGAAGGTGGAATTTTCTTCTGCAAATATCATACTCGATGGACCAAAAACAAAAAAAGGGCTTATTTGATATTGTGCTGTAATATATTATACAAATGTCCAAAGCATGATTTTTTGTTTATTAAAAAAAGATTAAAAATATATGAGATATCTCACACAATCAGCGAGGCGACACATTTGAAAGTGTTACCTCGTTGATAGAACAAACAACGTTTTCTGCAAGGGGTGAAGCTGATTCTGCAACTACTCGTCCAACAAAAAATGCAGGTTCTGTTGGTTTAGGAAGACTGATGGTCTCACCTCCCAACATGACTATTACAGATGACATGGTGGGTCTATCCACCGGATCTTTTTGCACACACAACAAACCAATATGGATGCATTTGAACACCTCAGACTCCACACATGACTGCACCATTTCTGGGTCTATCACCTGCACTCCTTGACCTTGAGACCATAGTTTCCATGCCTGCAATTTGATTTTATATTAAGGTCATACCATTTTATTTATCAGCATTTGTTTGAAGACAGAACAAAGGTTACATAGAAACTCACAAAGGTTAGAAGGCTTTCACCGCGTTCATAAAAGTAAAATCCGTTGTTCTTCTTTCCACTGATGATCTCTAGCAATATGACACCAAAGCTGAACACATCAGATTTGACAGAAAAGAGTCCTTTCATAGCATACTCTGGTGCCATGTACCCACTGTTTAAATTTTACATGACCATAATTAAAATGATTTAAATCCAAAAACATTGGAATTTAAACATTATATACTATTCTATTTGCATGCAAAAAAATAAAAACCTACTTAGTTTGAATATTGATTATTAGGGATATTAGCCTAGAAAGGCAAGGGAAATGAGGACTTACTATGTTCCAACAACTCTTTTTGTGTTTGCTTCGTTTTGATTTCCACTAAAAATCCTTGCCAAACCAAAATCTGAAATTTTGGGATTCATTTCTCTATCTAACAAAATATTGCTTGTTTTAAGATCTCTATGTATAATTCTAAGACGAGAATCTTCATGAAGATACATGATGCCTCGAGCAATTCCAATGATGATTCTAAATCGTCTTTGCCAATCCAATTGTGCACGCATGCCTGAATCTGAGGATAACCAAAAGTTAAAAAAAAAAAAAAAAAAAAAAACCCAAACCCAGAACCCGTTTAACCCAAACCCAAAAACAAAAAAAAGTGAAATAAAAAATGGATCTGGAACCC